AAGATTTGGGCAGTGAACAGTCTAGGAGATAAATGCTAGTGCTCTAGTCTAGGAGATACATTTCCTTGTTTTAAAGCAGGTATAAATTATATGTATACGTGCCAGGCTAGAGTGTTTTTTGTTTGTTTGTTGCTAAAGAAAGTTGCAACCTTTTGAACAACTAATCAAAGCTTTCTGTTTCCTTTACCCATTCATTATGGAATATGGTAATAGAAATATGCTAATGAGATATATAGGTTCGGTACAGTGAAGATTCAGTCATGCTTGGTTTCCTAAGTCATTAGTAAATAATTGCAAAATAACATCTTATATTGTTTCCTTAGACACAAGCAATAATTTGGGAAGAAAGGATTTAGGCCAAAATTTTCAAAAATGGACACTAATTTTTGGTGTCCAAATTCAAACATTCAAGTAGGTGCTGAACATCTGCAATTCCAGTTAAAGTCAATGGGAGCTGCATGTACTCAGCACATTGGAAAATGATGTCTTAGGCTGGGCACTCAAAAGCAATGGCTACTCTTGAAAAACGTCAGCCCTTATGAACACAAATTATATAATTTTAGCTGAAAGCCTGGATCAAAGTTCCTGTTCATTTTTTTAATGTTGATTAAAAATTTTTAACCTGATGCAAACCAAAGAAAATCAAAGGGATGCAGCTAGATACACAAGATAATATTGATAAAGTACATAAATGAACTCAGAAGTAGAATATGCCTATTGATTGGATAATATACTACCTTTGGATTTAATATATATATACATACACCTCTGTTGCCACATATGCTGAGTTCTGATTATACATAATATATATCCCATAATATTCATTTCCCCACCTGCCTTTCACAACGTGGCTAAGCAGATGATGTACATTAGCCTGCACCCATTCAAGCTAATGTGCTCGAACAGGCAACTGTTTTTCTTGGCAACACTCCAAAAATGATATTGGCTAGTGGTTGTTTATCATGTGTATGAACAGCAGCTTCTTTGCAACTCAGCCTGGAGATCATTCCTTTAACTCTAACATCACCCATCCCTTATAACAATACTGTAAGATTTTACAGTAATGGTCAACCTTGTTACAGTACATGATAGTATTATTCATGCCTTTTTTACTGTGACTGTTGAACAGAGTAATCTATTGTGTTCCAATAGCAATCTAAACTCTGAGGTAACACTACTACACTCTAGAATCTGATTTTCTAATCTTGGCTCAGGTATATTTGACAACTTGTCTACACATGAAAATTAATCTGGAATATGGCAGGCAGATTAAATATCCCTGATTAACTCCATGTATGGATGCTTATTTTGCATTAAGAGTGCCCTTATTCTGAATTAGCTTAATCTGTAAACTAATTTGGAACAAGGTACTCATTGCAGAATAAGAGAGTCCACACATGGAATTAATAGCTATTCCAGACTAACTCCCCATGTAGACCAGCCATTAGTGTAATGTATGGATTATAAAAACTTCCCCCAACCTCCATTAACAACTTTAATATTATAAGGAACTTCAGGTAAAAGTTCCTGGTAAATCCTGCTCTCATTTACAACCAGGCAATTCCATTACAGTGTACAAGTGCGTGGGAGCACAGGATTTGGCCCTCCATCACCAAGAAAACTGATCAGAGCTGCTTACTGATCAGGTGGAATCTGAGTCCCACTGCTTACTTCTCTCTTCCTATAAATGCATCTGTTAGGAAGGATAAAATCTGTTCATCTAAATCAACACTGACCTGAACACTCACTCACAACTTGAACCAAACTGAATTATTTCTAAGATTCATAAGAGTTTCCTGATGGAAATAGAAGAGCCCAAATACAGTGAAAGAGGATGTTCTCATGGTACTTCCAGCTTAGTTTCCAGACCCAAAAGTATAAGAACATAAAAACAGCCATAGTGGGTCAGACCAAAGGTCCATCTAGCCCAGTATCCAGTCTTCCAACAGTGCCAACGCCAGGTGCCCCAGAGGGAATGAACAGAACAGGTAATCATCAAGTGATCCATCCCCTGTTGCCCATTCCCAGCTTCTGGCAAACAGAGGTTAGGGACACCATCCCTGTCCATCCTGGCTAACAGCCATTAATGGACCTATCCTCCATGAACTTACCTAGTTCTTTTTTGAAATAGGTAAGTATCTGAATTTTTTTTCAGCTTATCTGAACTGAATCTGTTGGACCTTTTGAAGTTCTCCTGGCACTACATCTACAGCTTGGGCTTGAACTTGCACCCCTTGGAACCAATGGGAGATTTACTTTTGCCTTAATGGGAAATGTTTGATTATTGAAATATGGACTCCACTAAAATGCATGTGTAGATTACATCAAAATATGTGGAAAGCTCTAAAAAAGGTAAGAGCAAGAACAGTTCTTAGAAATGGGTTAGTTGTAGTCAAACAGCAAACCTCAGCAAGGACGTGTTCAGTGATAAACAATTATCTTGCATTGAATCTTGTGCCTAGTCAACACTCCATTTATTGACTGTGCAGCTGTTACTGGGATTGCCAAAGCATACACCTATTAAAAAGCAGTATCAATATACTGTGCAATGATAATGATAGAGGTGGCCAAGGAGTATTGTTTTGTGCACCCATGATTTGCAAGATGTGGCTTGCCCACATTGACTATGTCTCCTGCAGGCTATGCTGGAATCAGAGCAGGAGAATTTATGCAGGCCTGAACTGAAGTGTTTGCAATAAACACACTTTCCATTTGAGTTAATGCACAAGATTAACAAAGCTCTAAAATTACCTGTGATCATGTGTGAGATCCTTGTCTGTTTCCAGTACCAGACTTCAACATTTTTGTCACTAATAAGGAGTGAATCTGTCAATTAATTACCATCTTTCAATTAATTGTAATTGTGACTTACCTTTCCCTAAAGAAATTATTGTGCAATATAAACAGCAGTACCACAGAACTAGATCTGTTACTTCCTTAGGGTTTTGCTGACAGTGTGTTTGCTACCAAACAGATGTCCCACTTTTCTTCAGGTAATGGACAGAAGCACCTAATGGGTAATTCAAGACAGACATCTCTACTCCAGCATCTCATTGACTGACACTCAGCTTTGTTCTTATCTTGTCAAATTAGCTCAGTGTGCTATTGATGGTTTTGTTACCTGATAGTCTCAATGGAGATAGAAAGAACACTCATGTTTTCAAGTGGCTGTGTATATTCAGTGCAATGGCAACTAACAGGGGATAACTTTAAAAAGCTTCCTATTATAGTGTGCAGTCACCAACACATCACCCCCTCGTGGAAGGACACAGCATCATAAGAACTCTTCCTCTCTAGCACCGCCTCATGTCCTGGTTCCACATTGGTCTGCCAACTCCATGGCCTAACTTTCCAGCTAGATCAGCTCTCAGTCCAGACCTCTTCCAGGATTAGTGGAAGACAAATTAAATCTCAACTCAAAATAGCCATTTGGGTGTCAAAGTCCCTAATATAAACCCTAATCCTTCACAGAAACCCAAGGTCAATGTTACCAAGGTTAAGAACCTGACTTGGCCAGGTAGCTTGGGTTAGGCTGTGCTATCCTGTCCTGTCTTGGCTTCACCCAGAAATGGGGCTCGTAGTAAAAGGAAACAGACCTTTTTAGCTCACCTGTTGGGCTCTGATTGGCCTCTGCCTGCTCTTGGCCCTTCTAGGTGCCAGAGGACCAACTCTCTCTAGTTCTGCGTTCAGCTGATCTTGGGAGGTCTCTCTAGGCAACCCCTGGAGGTCTGAATTCACTGCTTTTCCTTTCATCAGGGAACCTTCTTAGGGCAAATTGTGCCAGGGTGGTGGGGCCTCTGGCAGAGGATAGCACATGGCTGGTCCATAGTCACTTGTCTTGGTTAAAACCAAGCTAATGACCAGCTGTTTACACACAATACTCTTCCCTGCTCATTAGAGAATAGAATTGTCAAGAATTGGGCACTTTCTGTAGCTTTCTAACTAAAATGGCTAAAAATGTATTGTAACCACTGAATTAATATTCATACCCAGAATGAAAGCCTCAGAAGCATCAGATCTGATGCTACATCCTGTAAGGCTTTTTTTGCAAACACACTTGTCCTATTATATCATTTGGCTTATCAATTTAATCTTCATAAACCTTATATTGTATAGGGCTGTGAGGTCCCAGAGGACTGGAGAGAACAAACTTAGTACTTATCTTTAAAAAGAGAAACAAAGAGGACCTGGATAATTAAACACCAGTCAGCCTAGCTTAGACACCTGGAAAGATACTGGAATGAAGTAAGCACCTAGGATAATAAATTATAGCCAACATAGATTTTTCAAGAACAAATCATGCCAAACCACTCTCATTTCCTTCCTTGACAGGGTTACTGGCCTAGTGGTTGGGGCAAAGCTGCAGACATGATATATCTTGATTTTAGTAAGGCTTTTAACACAATTCCACATGACATTCTCAGAAGCAAACTAGAGAAATGTGATCTAACTGAAATTATTATAAGGTGGGTGCACACCTGGTTGAAAGACTATATTCAAATAATAGTTATCTATGGTTTGCTGTCAAACTGTGAGGACCTATCTAGTGGGGTCCCACTGGAGTCAGTCCAGGGTCCAGTACTAGTCAATATTTCCATTAATGACCTGATAATGGAGTGGAGAGTATGTTTATAAAATTTGCAGATGACACAAGGCTGGGAGGCATGTTGGAGGACAGGATTAGAATTCAAAATGACATTGAAAAATTGAAGAATTGGTCTGAAATCAACAAGATGAAATTAAATAAAGACAAGGAAAAAGTACTACATTTAGGAAGGAAAAATCAAACATGCAACTACAAAATGGAAAATAACTATCCAGGTGGTAGTACAGCTGAAAAGCATGTGGGGTTACAGTGGATCACAAATTGATCATGAGTCCGCAATGTTATACAGTTGTGAGAAGGGCCAATATTATTATGAGATGTAGTAACTGGAGTATTTTATATAATACATGGGACATAGTAATTGTCCTGCTGTACCTGGCACTGGTGAGGCCTCAGCTGGAGTTCTGTGTCTACGCTTTAGGAAGATGTGAACAAACTGGAGAGAGTCCAGAGGAGATCTACAAAAAATGATAAATGGTTTAGAAAACCTGACCTATGAGGAAAGGTTAAAAAAACTGGGCATTTTCAGTCTTGAGAAAAGAATACTGATGAGGGGAGACCTGATAACAGTCTTCAAATATGCTAAGGGCTGTTTCAGAGAGAATGGTGATCAATTGTTTTCCATGTCAACTGGAGATAGGACCAATGGTAGTGGGCTTAATCAAGCAAAGGAGACCTCAGATGTTAGGAAAAACTTTCAGCTATAAGGGGAATTAAGCTCTGGAATAGACATCCAAGGGAGGTTGTGGAATCTCCATCATCGGAGGTTTTAAAGAACAGGTTAGACAAACACATGTCAGGGATGTCAAGGTTTACCTGGTCCTGCCTCAGCACAAGATGCTGGACTTGATGGCTTCTTGAGCTCCCTTCCAGCTCTCCATTTCTACGATTCTGTGAAATAGAGTCTCCGCAGATTGTTTAGGCCTGGATTTTCAAACACTATCTGTGAAATGTGAACATGAAATTTGGTGTGTGCAACCTATAAAAATCCTGTAACTGTGCTTCCAGTCACTCTCTGGCTGTAAAAATGGACATTGCATAAACTAGGTTTTGGAAGATTGTTAGAAAGTTTGGCACTTAAATGTTTGTAAATCAGAACGCACTCAGTAGGTCAAGTATCGGAGGGGTAGCCGTGTTAGTCTGAATCTGTAAAAAGCAACAGAGGGTCCTGTCGTCTTGCATCTGAAGAAGTGAGGTTCTTACCCACGAAAGCTTATGCTCCCAGTACTTCTGTTAGTCTCAAAGGTGCCACAGGACCCTCAGTAGGTCAAATTCTCCACTCACCTACGTGCAGTCCCACTCATGATAACGGAATTTAGCTCCATATATCTTATTCCACTTAGCCAGGCATCTTTCTGAACAGTGGGAGCTCAGAACTTAAAAGGTTGAAACTCCCAGCATGGTACCTCATAGAAATAACATTTCCCTCCGTATTTCTTTCTAATAAGCAGCCAAACTTTGCTGGAAAGAAATTAAAACCTGCACCATTCTTGTGTGATTGCATTCTCAGTGCTTCATGTATTGACTTTTGATTTAAAGAGACTTTTGTTTGTTATTGTTTTACACTATTTTCAGATCTCTGCTAATGTGAAAGACTTTTTTTAAAGGAAGGATTCCCTGAAGGGGGGCATCAATTTCACCTGAACAATTGAGGGAAAAGTAGGCAGATAGTTAGATTAGATATTTCCTTAGATCTGGGTTTTACACTCTTTATCCCTGCCTGCAAGCAGCAATGTCAGTAGCAACAGCATCTAGTGTATACACCCTACAGCGTATTTCCATAACAGAACAAAACAAGGGGGCAAAATTAAATTTGAGTGGATGGTGTACATGAGCAATGAAAGGCTGTCTGACAGTAGAGACTAGACTGGATCTTTTAGTTGTTCATTTCCAGACAGTCTAAGTTTTTTGTTTTTATTCATTTTTTAAAGGTGTAAAGTGTTTTAGAGCAGATATAATATTGCTTTTGGGTATTAGATGGAGCACACTTCCAACCTTCATTCTCTTTTAACCAAGTTTGTTTGTTTGCAAATCTGTCTTTATTGTTAAAACAGATCTGTAACCTTTCTGTCTCCATGGGTACTGTATAAGCAGACCTATTACCTGAATGCTATTGTTCTACTTAATGTCACTGCAAACCTGTGGATGAAATAAAAATACAATATATAAAAAGTAAAGAAGGAACATGGAAGAGTCATTTGTTTGTCATCATCGCTTGCACTGCTTGGACCACCAGATGCCTCATAGTCTGATTTATCTTCCGTGCAACATACCAACAAACATTTTTTCTGAACCAAGAGAAAATCCTGAACTTCATGGTTCACAAAAGGGGCTTCCTGGGATCTTGTTTATTGTCTGATGGCAGGATCTCTTGAAATATTGCCTCACACCAACACACTATATTCATAAGGCTTGTAAAAGGCAGGGTTGGGTTGATGGTTGGCCTTTTTAGTTGATGTCAGCATGTTTGATTAGTGTCTTATTCACTCTAAACATTATGGTAGGCAAATTTTTTCTTGGCAATATGCCAACCATTGTTTAAAAAATTGACGTTGGCATTTTTAAGAAGGTAGGATTTATAACAAATGTTCATGTGTATTTACTATGCGCATAAGCTTTGTTCCATCATTTCCCAAAACTTGTAGATTGATCAGTTAATACACAGTGTCCAATCTGTAGGAGACAATATAGGGGGCAACTTTCTTAAATCCAAGTTTTCCTTGATCATTCGCTGGGTATTGCCACCTACATATTTCTTTTGCATTGTCAAAGAACCTTGTTGAAGTTCTAGAAATCCAATATTATTAATTCTCTAATAGGCAGGAACAACAATTCGGACGAGTTTTTCTATTTACATAGCTACTTTTGGCTTTCTTGGACTGAGAATTCATATTGTGGTTCAGTTTCACAACATCATATCAAAAATTGTAAAAAAAAGAAGAAGTCTTCTTGGCATGGTTGCCACCACATTGTGTGATGTAGCTGGGATTCACAGCTGGGATGAACTAGTAATCGATAAACTCATTATTTCCATTTTATATCTAAAGAAAACTTGCCTAAAATGTATCTTTCCTGACCAGCAAACTAATTGCTCTTAATCCAATATGTATAGATTGAATTGTTTCTTACTGCAAAGTGAATAAATTCATATATTTTAAGGCCAGAAAGGACCACTATAACCATTTAGTCTGACCTCTTGCTTAATACAGGCCATAGATTTTCACCCAATAATTACTGCAGTGGACTTAATTACTCTTTGCTATATAATATTGGCTATCAAATCCAGAATTCTGTTTAGTCCATTTGTAGCCCTTATTTAATAAGGCCCCTGCCATTTCTTGTTAGATAGATAAAGGTCCAGTATAGAGTTTCTTATCATTTAAATGAAACACCATGTTTAGCAAAGCTGTTAAATGATAACTGAAGGCAGACATCTTGATGAATAAATCAATGTTCATGAATAAATGATGTACGTGAGTGATAAAATGGTAGTTTAGTTTTTAATATTATTTCCTTCTTAGACCAACAAATGAGCCAGTTAGTGTCCATTGTAATTATGGTTATTGTGATGTGGACACTTTGGGTGAGATCCACAAAGGGACTGGTTTCAGAGTAGCAGCCGTGTTAGTCTGTATCTGCAAAAAGAACAGGAGTACTTGTGGCATCTTAGAGACTAACCAATTTATTTGAGCATAAGCTTTCATGGGCTACAGCCTACTTCATCGGATGCATGTAGTGGAAAATACAGTAGGAAGAGAGAGATATATACACAGAGAACATGGAACAATGGGTGTTACTATACACACACTATAAGGAGAGTGATCAGTTAAGGTGAGCTTTTATCAGCAGGAGAGGGGGAAAAACTGTTTGTAGTGATAGCAGAACTTGTACCTGCCTGAAAAGATTTTCTTTAGCCTAGACAAAGGTTTTTTATAGCCCCTGGGTTTTTTTAAATTTTATCTGACAACTGTAATGAAGTTTCTTATGGGAATTTTTGTAATTTATTTAATCTCTTACGGGTTGATACTTTAAAAAATATTTTCTCTCTATATATTAGCTGCTCCTGAGTGGTTTTCTGTATTTTCCCTTCGTGGTAACTGAGTCAGACTACAGGGTGACAGATTTCAGCCAGATGATGAAATCCAACATAATCCATCTCAAAAGGTGAAAATGTCCTGTAAAAGCTTCATTGACATTTTTGCCAGCATTCAGCTAAGGAGAATGTTTTATTGCCATCTTTGAAGAAAATTTTACTGGTACAAAAACTTCTGTGGGAAATATTATCAGCAGTTTGTGGAATCTCTGCAAACTTAAAGGGCAAATTTTGAGTGCTTTTAATCTTGCCGTGGTTTTTTGTTTTGTTTTTAAAAACAGATCTGGTTAAGTGCTGGTTATAATAAAAGACAATAAATGTATACACCAGAGTTTAACATAAAAATAGCACATAGCAGAGCCTGAACCTGCATTTCTTGCACAATTAAAACAGCCATTGACTTCACTGGACGTTTTGAGTGCTCAAGGAATGTGAGGTGTCGTACATAACTAATAACCTGTTTTCTTCAATTAATCTCCTTATCCAGAGATCTTTCTTTGCTGGGTCTGGAATACACATGCAATATGTTTTCGAATAACAATCCTCAATATTTCTGTTACTGGATGGGTCCCACACAGAACTTTTTTTATCCGTTTTTTTCAGTAATGATTGTCACTTTCATAACACTTCTAGGTCCTAATTCAAAAACCCATTGAAGTCAATGGCAAGACTCCTGTTGACTTG